GCACCCGGGATCCGAACCCGGGCCACCAGCATTGCAGCGCGCGCACTTAACCACCAAGCCACAGGGCCGGCCCTACTTGTTTTTACTTTAGGGTTTAACCTCTATGTTTTGAGGTCTTTATCTTTCTGGATTTCATTTTTATAGTTTTGCACAGGTCATTTGCTCTACTCAGAGAATGCTTTCACTTATATGTTCAGTCATTTGAGTAGGCTTAATAGAACAGCATTCCAGAAACTGGATTTTGTCACTGGTTTTTTTTCTTTCCTAAAAATACTGAGATAATTGTTGGCATTTTGATATGCTTTTCATGTAGTGTTCCTACTGTTCCGACATCTAGAGTTAGTGACTTAAATTTTTATAAACAACTTTATTAGCTATGTAAAATTAATTTCCCTTGCTAACCTCATTATTTTCAGTATCTTGTATCTATTGATATTCATCTGTAAAAAATTATTTTCACTTAACAGATCTCAAGGGACTGGCAGTAGTAGAAACGGAAGTCCTCTTTTTGTATGCACGGGATGGATACGATTGGGCCACTCTAGTGTGAGCCTCTCTGTGCTGCCCCATCACTGATCAGGAGGGACTTTTTTCTCTGTCAGAATGTTCAGTCTCCATAGAGCTCAGTTCTGGTCTTCTCCTGAGTAAAGACTGCTTAATTATATGGTGGTTTCATGATTAATGGACCATAATCTATTGAGGGTAGAAGTGAGACCACCAAACTTTTCATTTAGGATCTCAAGCTGCACTTGAACCCCGGTTGGGGTAAAAGTCTAGTGATTTATCCACTAAACTGTCTGTATAGCCCCATGTCTATTTAACCATATTTAAGATTGATTACTTTCTCAGAAGCTAATAAATTTCTGTTTTTTAAACAGGGGAATGCAAAGATTATGCCAGCATCTACATTTGACATGGATAAGTTAAAATCCACATTGAAACAGTTTGTGAGAGACTGGAGTGAAACTGGGAAAGCAGAAAGGGATGCCTGCTACCAGCCAATCATTAAAGAAATTTTAAAAAATTTTCCAAAAGAGAGATGGTAAATAGTGCCGTATTTTTAACCACTTTCTTTAAGATATGTAAGCATTGAGTTTCTCTACAAGGCATTTCACAGTCTTGATTCATTTCTGTTGCTGCTGTGTGCCTGTGTTTGTTCACGTGTGGGGATGTGATGTTATATTTTGTTTTTGGATGCTTTGTGTGAGGTTGCAGTTAATGTTTTCAATAATTTTTGCTCTAGCCCTTATGGGAAATTACTCTATCTAGAAATTAAATAATGAGGTTAGATTGAATGTTCATTATCAATCATGTCTACCTTTTTATAATTTTCTTTATAGTAGAGCAAAAAGCTGCGAACTGTTTTAATTTTCCTCATTATGACATACTTGTAAGTAAAAGAGGGATCTGTAGCTTAGAGCAGAGATTCTTAACTTTTTTATGCCGTGAAAACCTTGAGTAGTCTGAAGCCCATGGTCTGCTTTTTGGAATAACATTTATAAATGAATAAAATAAAATATATAGGATTACAAAGAAACTATTTTGAAATGCAGTTATCAAAATACTTAAAAAGCAAACTTGTGATACAACCTGCTTTTTATCATGTATCAGATTAAATAAAATCTAGCAGCAGGTGTTACTATATTTTGAAAATACTGAACAGTAATATTTTGAGAATCTCAACAACTGATGTGAGGTGAAAATATATGTGATTTCTATTGGTGATAAAGTCCCAGGTACTACTAATACTACTATTGTTTGCTGTCTGCATTCATAGTTGAAGAAAAAGTATCAAAGGTTCATGAAATTAAAATGTAACTTTTTTCCCATCCCCTTCATAGATCCAGTGAATTCTGTCTGTGGGTCCATGGATCCCAGGTTAGGAATCCCTGACTTAGAGGCTTTACATTAAAGAGAACCACTGGATGGAATTCAGTCTGTCATTTAAAGGATCTTTGTAGAGAGGGTCCTTTTCCTCATCTCCTGCCTCTCTTCATTGATTGACATCTTTAAGTTTGGGTATATCCTTCTAGAAATTTCAATACATATGTGTGTATGTCTGTTCTCTCTTTCTTAAAAACTTTTTATTTTGAAATAACTTCAAAATTACAAATAAGTTGTATGAATTGTTCAGGGGGCTCCTATATACTCTTAACCTAAATTCACCAATTCTTAGCATTTTACATATGCTTTATTATTTCCTTTTCCTACTTCTCTCCCTCCTTCCCCTACTTTATGTGTGTGTCTAGAACCACAAATATGCACAATTATCATTTAAACCATTTGAGAGATCAGTTTGTGTATATCATTTTTTTTACTGCTTAATACTTCAGAGTTTATTTCTTAAGAGCAATGATATCCTCTTACATAAACACAGTGCAGTTACCAGATTGAGGAAATTTAACCTTGAATACTGTTTTCTAGTCTACAGTCTGTTTTCAAGTTTCATAAATTATCCTGATAATGTCCTTTATAACACTTATTTTTCTGTCCAGTCTAGAATTCATCCAGGATATTGTATTACCTTTAATTGTAATGTCTTAGTCTTTAATCCGGAACAGTTCTTTGGCCTTTTTTTGACTTTCAAGACATTGGCATTTTTGAAGAATACAGGGAAGTTATTTTATAGAATATTCCTCAGTTTGACGCTGTCTGGTGTTTCTTCATGATTAGATCTAGATTATATGTCCCGTTTCAAAATAATACATAGTTCATGTTGTGTCCTTTTCAGGATATCACATTCAGAGACATACAGTGTTTGTCAGCCCATCACTGATGATTTTAATTTTGACCACCCATCAAGATGTTATTTGGTTTTCCCGCTGTTTAGTAACTGTTTCTCTTCTTGCAACTAATAAGCAATTTCTGGGGAGATGCTTTGAGACCATGCAATTAATATCCTACTCCTCAAACTTTCCCCCTGCTGGAATTATCATCCATTGATGATTCTTGCAGGAAATAACCTGTGTTAGGATGGTTATGGAATGGTGATTTTCTAACTCTACAATTATCAGTCAGCATTCTATTGTATCTGGATATCTATTATCAGGGAGAACTCATCATTCCTATTTTATTCAAGAGGTTATAATCCATTACTGTTGTTTTTTGTTTTATTGTCCGAATTGCCTCAGATTTGGCTGGAGGAGTCCCTTTAGTTGGCTCCTATGTCCTTTTGGCATGGCATGCCCCAATCATTTTTTTGAGCACTTTTCTTACTTTCTGGCATGATAAGATATTTCTGTCCCATCCTGTATCTTCCCTACAGCAGTTCTGTAATTGGGTATTTTTCCAAGGACCTTTTCCTGGTTCCTTTTAATGCAGAATCGTATGTAGAAACAAGGATCTGGCCCTAGGCACGTTAGTTGTTACTAAGAAATTATTGCTTCTGGACCTTTCAGTGGACAGCACACACACACATTAGAAATCGTGAGTTCGTACTGATACCTCCAATTCCAATCCAAACCCATTGAGTTTCTCCTTGTCTTCCCCCATTCTCTACGTCTGTCTGCCTTTTTCCACAGTGAGAACCCTGGCTTCTGACAACATCAGTACATTTACTCGTTCATTCAATCCTATAATACAAACAAAATTGTTTCAGAATTGCTACCTCCATACCACTATGAAAAACAGAATTACTGGAAGGAGTTCAGGATTTGCTAGCAATTATTTTTCCCCCTAAACCAAGAGTATTTAATAAAAATATTCTTCATAATTTACTCAGATCAGTCCCCTTCAACCCCTTTACCCTCAGTGTGGTTGTGTTTTTTATTTGAAATTCAGTACATTTAGGTTTATGTGTTTCTCTTTGCTTTCAGTTTTAGAGTTGTGTGTCCCCCGGGGCCCGCCCCATCCTTATTGATTTGTTTTTGTTTTTTGATTCGTGGACCATCAACTAGACAAAACTAGACCAAAAAAAAATGATATTCAGAAAAAGTCTCATTCCCTCCCCTATTCCTTCTGTACTCTATCTCACCTCCCACCCCCAATCCCACACTCTAGGTAGGTAGTAGTATCATTGATTTTTCGTTTATCTTTCTTGTTTTTGTTTTGTATGAAAGTAAGCAGATAATATGTTCTTTCTTTTTAAGTACCCCTTTTTTCATACATGAAATGTGGCATGCTGTATATTTTATTTTGTACTTTGCTTTTTTCACTTAATGATATATCCTAGAAGTAGCTACATATCAGTTCATGGAGATCTTCATCGGTCTTTTTTTTTTCCTTTATAGCTTCAGAGTACTTCAACCAATCTCCTATATTAGGTTATTTAAGTAATTGGCAGTATCTTGTGATTATAAATAATGCTACAGTTAATAACCTTGTGATATGTATTTTTGTGTTGTTGGAGGTGTATCGTCAGTATAAATTCTTAGATGTGGGATTGCTGCATCTGAAAGGTAAATGTGTTTGTAGCTTTGTTAGTGTATTAGTTATCTATTGCTGTGCAACAGATTGCTACAAATTTAACTGCTTAAAACAATGGACATTTATTGTTTCACAGTTTCTGTGTGTCAGAAGGCTGGGCGTGGCTTAACTGAGTTCTCTGTAGGGTCTTGCAAGGCAGCAGTGAAGATGTCTGCTGGCTGTGTTCTCATCTAGAGGCTTCACTGTGGAAATTTCTGCTTCCGGGCTCGCTCATGTTGGCAGAATTCGTATCACTGTGATTGTAGGCCCTGCCTTTTTGTTAACTGTGGGCTGGAAGCCTCCCTCAGCTCCTAGAGGCCTCTCGCAGTTCCTTGTCTTCTTATGGGCTTTCACAAATGGCCACTTACTTCATCAAGCCAGCGAGGAAAATCTCTAGAGCAAACAGGCTGTAAATGGAGTCTTTTATAATATAATCACAGGCGTGACATCTGTTAGTTAGAAGCAGGTCATAGGTCCTGCACACACGCAAAGGGAGGGGGTTATAAAAAGGCGTGAACACCAGGAGATGGGGGCCACTTTAGAGTCTGTCTGCCACACTTGTTGCCACATACCCTGTAAGGATTGTACTGTTTTGCCTTCCTGTCAGCAATGTGTGGAAGTGCCTGTTTACTCACAGCCTTGCCGAGCATATTGTGTTATCAAGCTTTTGAACTTTTCCAATCTAATGGGTAACAAATTGTATCTTGGCATAATTTTAATTTGCATTTCTCTTATGGGTGATTGTAACTCTTCCTATGTTTAAGGGCCATTTTATATATTTTTTTGTTTTGAGAATTATATATTCATATCTTTTTTTCCCCTCATTTTTAGAAATTGAGGTGAAATGCACATAACAAAAGTAACCATTTTAAAGTAAACAGTTCAGTGGCATTAAGTACATTTCACGATATTCTGCATCTATCACCTCTGTATAGTTCTAGAGGATTTTCCTCAGCACAGAATAAACCCGTACCCATTAAGCGGTGATTCCCCATTCTCTTCACCCCACTCCCCACCTTTGTCAGCAGTTTGACTATGAGGTGCCTAGGTTTGGTTTTCTTTGTGTTTATCCTACTTGGAGATTGCTTTGCTTTTTGGGGTTTGGGTAGATATATATCACCAAATCAGAAATTCTTTGTTCTTATCTCTTCACATATTTCTCCTGGCCTTTCTCTTTTTCTTTCTTTTCTGGGACTCCGGTTAATATATACTAAACTGTTTGGCGTTATCTCTCAGGTTTCAGATGGTTCTTTTTTTATATTACTCCTCCCCCCTAACTCTTTTTATACTTTAGTTTGGATAATTTCTATTGACTCGACTTGAACTTTACTGATTCTTTATTATGCCAGTCTGTTGATAAGCCCATTGAAAGACTTCCTTATCTCTGAAACCATATTTCTAAAAAAGTTTCTAGCACTTCCATGTATACATATATTTCTCTGTGTGTGTGTATGTATGTATATGTTCTCTCTGAGAAATCTGGCTGAAATTTCTCGTTTGTACATGTGATCTACCTTTTCCACTTGATACTTTAACAGTTTTTATGGCTATTTTAAAATCCCTGTCTAATAATTCCAACATATGTGCCATTTGTGGGTCAGCTCTGTTGATGGCTTCCTCTCATCACAGTGGGTTGCA